AGATCGACTCTACTAGTGATGCTGATCAAGAATATATATACTTTATAGGGTCGGAAACGTCTCCTTCACTGCGTTGCAAACTTCTGACTGAAATTATAATACCCTCTGCAAGGGTATAAACATAATAATGGAAACATTTTTAAATTTGATTTTATTGCTAAATTAAGAGCAAAGTCATAATAGATAAAGTGCTTAAACTAAGAGTCAAGTAAGCTATCTGAAAGGATTTACTTACCATTATATACAAAAAAATATTGTTGACAAAGGAAAAATAATTTAAAAAGCTGAAGGCACTTAAAAGTATTAAATTTATTCCAAAATGTAGAGTAAATAATCAATCGCATATCAAAAATTCAGTCTGTCTCTTTTCTGAGAAATATTTTTTTAGGATTTCTTTGACTTTCTGATTTTTACTGCGGTATATTCCAACCGCTTATCCCCAGCATTCACAGTGACTTATATTGTGACTGTCTGCACATTTCCCGTGGCAGGAAGTTAAAACCTTTCCGAATAGTCTAGCATGTTCAGTTAACATTTCGGTAAGTTTCGTATTTCTGAGGCGGATTGAAGCGGGTATTTGTGTGGGCAAACATAATCCAAAATGACAGGCAATGCAGTGATTATGTTATTAATTAGTAATGGCAATGCAATGCGTATATTTGCACGGAGCAAAGTGTTTCATTACACAGCAAGAATCGACAGAGGCACAGAGTGGGTTTAAATGTGGGCGGTTTGGGTGCTTCAGGGATTTTGAGTACTTTGCCACGTTTGCCAGAAATTCAGCTTGTTTACATTTGATTTAGGTTTGCGGATGCATAATTACAGAGATTTTAGTTTAGTAGCCAGTCCATGTGAGTAATGAATTTCCTTTCCTGTTTTTCCATCAACAATATTCCGCATTCCACGCTCCGGGGCAATTATCATAATTTTTTCAACACCACAAATCAAACAAACACAAAATATGCTAAATTACACATTAAAACATTATTTGTAAAGGGAGAGCTCGGAAAATTGTTGAATTTTTCTTGGCACGCCAAGGAATTATGTACAGCAGACGCCATTACTAAGTAGTGTTTTTCTCCTCGCACCCAAAAACACTCGGCCATCCTAATTTGGCTGCTCATTGTTGGACCAGACATAATTTCTTTCGTTTATTTTCGAAGAATGCGCGGCGAATGTGAAAATTAATTATACTAAGCACACGCATAGACAGAGGAAAAACTGATGGGGAGGGGGATGAATGGCAGGGAGGTTAACAGCATGGGTTATGGGCTCAAGAAAATTGCAGACCCGAACAGACTGCCTAGCAGACTATTTAAGGATTCTTGCGGCTCTCTGATCTTCTGCCGTTGATTGAAATACATGTGTAGGACCAACCAAATTGCCAAAACGCATCTGTCATAAACCTATTTAAGTGGCAAATGCCAATTGCACTGACAGAAAAGCTAACAAAAACTTCAAAAGAATGAAAAGGTATTCAGTTAATAAGTAAACTAACAGTATAAATACGTATCTCCATTAAATGATTCTCAGAATGTTTAATAAAAATGATATTATTTGCGATAATATATATTTGCACAACATTTTCTATAAATGTCTAAATGAATTCTTAGAAATAATTAATTTATAAAAATTAATATTTTTTCAGTTCTTTAGAATCTATCAAGAATTTTACACCTTTTAGCTATCATAAATGAAATGGTATAATAAATGCTTGTTAGTTTTTATAAGACTTGATTGGCCCCTGTTAAAAATGCAGTAAATCACGAATTCTACCCAGAAAACCAATTAAATTAATGAAGAATTTCAATACATTTTTTTATATTTTTTCCGAGTGGCTTTAGTTTGCCTTTTGGGCTATTTATGCGCTCTGTTTCTGTCATTTTTGCCACACACGCTCACACACACACTCTTAAATGTCAATAAATCATAAGCTGGTCGAAAGAAAAACGAGGAGTTGCGAATGGGGGCCATGAATCGCTTGACAAGTTCTGGATATTTTTAGAAATATTTCCACATCTCGCCTTAATGAGGTTTAGTGCTCGAATCAAAACACAACAAACAAGGCAGTTTATTCACGATACGCAATCTATTCAAGCCAAAAGCGGAAGAATTTAAGGGGGAACGTACATAAATTATTAATGAAGATTTATGCAATATTTACCAAATCGCATCGCGCCCCAGCATTAATAATCAGAAATCCACGGATCAATTAGATCATCGCACACTCAATGGCCAGCGCACACTTGAAAATAATCAACAATTAAATACGACGATGATGAGGCCCGTATCCGAAAAGGCCATAAAAATAAAACCATTTAGGTGAAAGGCAGGAATCCACTTGGGATGGCCATTAAGAGTGCGGATAAGGTAAACACGGGAAATGCTTTATTGTTTATGAACGTATGAATGTATCTAATGATCATTTTCGGGGTGGCACGCGGGATGAGTAATTGCCAATTGTACGGGGTCCGAAAATAAAAGTGAGGAAACTCGCTCATAATCCATCTTCATCCGTAAAATAAATAATTTGCATGGGCAACAATCCATCGGCGGGTACATAACTATTTGAATTTGAGTAAATTCAGAAATATTTGGCAATCAATTAATTGATTTTCAAAACGAAAATTTACGGCATTTGTTTGTGCAGCTTGTACTTGAGCATTTCCTCTTAGAAAATTGTTGGGATATTTTTTTTTTCTTATGGGAAATCGTTGGCGTTTTCATGTTAATTTCATAATTATTTTCCGCCACTCCGGCGAAATGAGCATGTCATATAGCAGGCATCTATCTTTGGCGTTTGTATCTCTTTCCGAATCCAAGTGTGTGTATCTGCAGACATGCCGCTGAAATACTAATTATGTGCACGATTTAAATAGATTTTTCATTTATTTAGCTGGCCCATCATTTCTGGATGAAATGGAAATGAAAACGAAAATGAGAGGCAAATGTTTTATGTTGCGCCATTTAAAGGGAGAAAATAGCGACTGAAGGGGGGTCGATTTTCGCCTTTTGACGTGCGCCTGTCATTTCATCACTGCTCTCGTTTGGAGTCGGTGGAAAAATGAGCAGCGACTGACTGACGGGGCGGAAGTGTTGCGAGTATATTCGAATAATTTCGACTGGGAGGATACACAATTCTCGAGTTATTTGTTGTGCTCCCACTAATAAGGCCAAATGGGGCATAAACATTCGTAATTATGTGGCTATGAACTGGCTTTGACTCACTCATTTGGGTCGGAATCAAAATAAGCACAATTTCTACCTTGTATCGGGAAAACGTGGAGATTTTTCCGGATCTGACAATTAAATTTTAAAAGAGATTCCGTTATACCCCAGTTGTTTCATTTTTTATATAAAAATAATAGGTAACCTGAAATGCTTTAAAGGGGTGACATCGATTAGCAATTATAAATTATTATAATTCGCTGTCGCAAATTCCTAAATTTAAATCTATACATATTTCTCAAAGAATTATCACTTATCATTCTACATTTTTTCAAGACTATTTTAAAGATTTTAATGCAACGAACACTTTAAGACGATGCTCTGCCTAAGCTTTTGATCTTTCAGTAAAGAAAACAAGGCAAAACAATTATATAATTATTTTATTTAAGATTAACTTGTCCTAAGATAGGTTATTTTACTGTACAAATTGTGATTTTAAGACAGAATATTACTTCTACAATTACTTTTAGTTTGTCAATTTAGGAATGAAATAAACATATGTATATACATTTCGGAAACTATATGAGCATTAAATAACATAACTGTATTATGATTACCATATATATATTTATTTATTTATTGCAATACAATTGCGATGTTTAAACAGTAAAACAGATTGATTAAAAATGTGTGGTGTTGTGTTGCAATTGCAATTGCAACCTATTACCTAATGTAACCATAAATGTTTGCTCAAAGCAAACGATCGTTAAATACGTTTATTGACCGCAAAACTTTGTTTGTGACTACTTTCAGGTTAAAATATGGTTCCAAAATCGCCGCACCAAGTGGAAAAAGCAGGATAATGTCACGAACAACGAGGCCGCGGAACACAAATCCACGAATGCGAATGTCAAGCCAGGAGCAACAGCAACAACAGCAACAGGTGGCGAACCGGGCGAAAAGAAAGCCTCTAATACGAATACCAATTCGCCCACTGTTGGCAATGCCGTTGCCACTGTTGAGACCAAAAAATCTCCAAAGTCTCCAAATCGCGGCAGTAACAATAACAACAATAATACACTAAATAACAATGTCAATAACAGCGATGGGAAATTGCTAGGAAAACAAAGTACCACCAAAATTAAAAAACAATTGAATGCGCTGCTGGAGAAGACTGTAAAAACGGCCAATCAAGCAAATCGAAGTGCGGAAATGGAGACATCGGATCAAAAGCCTGCAGTCGAAAAAAGGATAAGTAATAACAATGAAAATCAATTGCTGCATCAGCGTTTGCATCAACATGCTATACCTTTGACGGTAGAACCAGCTGCTCCACTCGAACAAACCGAGAAATTGGACATAAAACTGGAAGAATCGCCGCAACATCGGGAATTACAGTTAAGTCTCCAAAGGGCGGCAATTCGAAATGGCCAGCTAACGGAAATGGATTTTGAAAGCAAACTGGCTGCAAGTAAAATATCCATTGCCTTGGCCATGGCCAATAAACAAATGCAGCCGGAAAAGTTGCCCAAAACGGAAAGTTCCTCATCGGAGGGCGAGGGCGAAGAAGAGGAGGAGGAGGAGGTGTCCTCCAGTGAACATGGCGATTCCACGGAGGCCCACGATTCCCAGGATCAGGATGTGGCCATGCGGGAGATCTAAAAACAAAAACTGATGAAAATCCCCCCCACACACACAGTCAAATTAACTTGTGCCAAAAAGTCGAATATTGCTATTGCTCATCCACAAAGAGGAGGAAACCACCCCCAAAAAACAAACAAAAAAGAAAAAACAGAAGGAAAACCCCCCCATAATTATAAAACCGTAATCCGTTCACCTTTAGGCTTGTATTTAATTTATTTAATATACTTAAACGCTAAGGCTAAGCTTTTGTAAATGTCGCATTTAAATGTCCGCGTAAACCATGGCAAATTGTAATCTGAACTTTCGAGAATTTCATGTGATAATGTATACGAGGCGATTACAAAATTGATTTTACTACTTGAACTATGAACTATATAATATGTAGGCCTGTAAGCTCTGCTACCCTGTAAATTGCAATTGAATGAAACATATTTATTGAGTGTTTGTACAAAAAATGAAACTAAGGCTACAAATGAGATGATATAGCCCGGAAAACAGTTTAAATTCTGATTAAATTTAGCGGAATTGTAAGAATTTTAATTTTATTTGGATCTTATAACTACATTTTCAAAATAATAAACTTAAGTCCATGTTTCAAATTTTTTTTTATGACTTATTTCAACCAAAATTAAATAGAAACCGATACAAAGTCTTTGAAATACCAAATTCTTAGTTGCTTAAATTTGTTTACAATGATCTTTAAAATTAATTGCATTCTGCCATTTCCGCTAGATTTAATAGGATTATAAAACAATAATATGGCTGATGGATTTCTCGGCCATTACACATTTTAAATTCAACAAATTAAACGAAAACAAAATATACAGAATAAATTCAATCGATCACAGTCGACGCATTTTGGCAGGTGGGCGGGTTGGAGTTGGCTCCGGAACATCCACCACGCCTTCCTCGGTTATGAGGAACTCGGCAAAATCATTGGGGGTCTCTGGCGAATAGAGGATATCCAGTTTGCGCACCGTGATCAACTGATCTCCCATTCGGTGCTGCTTGGGCACCCGTGAAACTCGCAGGCGGGTTCGTCCCAAGTGTGCCCATTGCAATCCCAGGCAGGGAACCTCATCCTGACCTCCACTGGCGGCCACCTGGTTGACGCAGACCACTGCACAGTTGTACTTATCCGCATAAGTGAGAAGAGCGTCTGCCAGGCGACGCATCTGACGGGCCCGCTCTAAAAAATCCGTGTACAGCCGGAATATTGCTGCCACGGAATCTATAATGATCAGCCCAACGCCATGTTGTTGCATCAGTCGCGGCAAACGATTTCTAATGCAATTCAGGAGGGGTTCCTGTGGGCAATAGGGATTTATCTTAGAAATTTATATTACTAAACATCTTTTGAGATTTAACGCCAAATTGTTTAGAGATCACAGAGATCTGCAGTGGTTTAAAATCACAAACAAAAATGCCTTAGGTTGGCTAATATTATTAAATGATTATTATATTATTACAATTATGTGCTTTTTGCTCAACAAAAAAAATTATTATATAAATTGTAGAGTTACAGGATGACGATTACTTACGGTCTCGTAATGATGTTCCACGAAAATGTTTCCCAGAAAGTTGAGTTTCTCTTTGGGATGTCGCTTTTCGCAGGCCTTGCTCATCTGCAGCAATCTTCTGGCCGGAAAAGCATCCTCTGTGCAAATGTAGGCCACGCCCTTGCCCAATCCTCCCAGCTCGGTGGGCAGCTGGACGCACAATGATAACTGGAGGAGCAGCTGGGACTTGCCAACGCCGGCTGCTCCACAAAGTTCGGTTATTCCCCGAGTGACCACGCCCCCTCCAGTGCAACGATCTAGGGCGGAACAGCCAAAGGATACCCGAGACCATCTCACATTGACAAGCGGCTTGAAAAGGGAATCGGCTGTAACAAAAGGTCTTAATTACTTCCATATTTATGAATTTAACTATCAGAAAGTTATACTTTGACTTAAGAAAAGGTGACCAAAATTAAACACTACTTCTTAAAAAAATTCACCATACAGTCAAAAAGAATTTTTTGTTTCCATTTCTTATAAAATATAAAATTCATAACTCTAAACTAAGTTCACTAAATTCTGTTTTACAAGATAATAAATCTATGCGACATTTTTCATTAAAAAACTTTATTTTAAATGATGATTTCAAAGATTATCAAAAATTTAAATTCTAAGAGGGTATGACTTGATCTGTATTAAATTTACTGGCACTTCGGGATAATCTGTTTAAGTATACAATTTCGAAGGATTACTTTAAATTTAAGGAGTTTATGGCAGATCGAATTTTATTAAATGGAGAGCTCGACTGAAGCCTACTCTACTTCCTGTCTGTACAAATGGGAGAAACCCTCAGGATCTTCTCACCTGTCTGAGGCATCTCAGCCAGCCACTTGGCCGCCGCATCCTTGAGCACCCTCACATCATCCGGAGTGCACTGCCGCACTACGGTGTACAGGGATTCTTGGCGCGTGTCCAGGAACCGAACTGGCGGCGTTGTCAGCACCTCCTCCGGTGCCAGGACATTAACTGGAGTGCAGGACATTAGTTGGCACTTGAACCAAGTTTTAGAGACCGAAACTCTTACCCTGCTCAGCGATTTCCCTGATGCGCTTCGGCAACTGATCCAGAAAGTTTGTCATCACTGCGATGGCATGTCCTCGATGTGATTGCGTGATATGATTGCCCAGCGAACACGGAAGGTGTCTCAACACCTCCGCAATTGGAGTTATTCCGCAGGATTATCGATCAAACAGCCGAGTAATCAGCGACGATTTGCGAACGAGTGCAGCAGGTAAATAAAAGCCGGCTTTCGCTTAAAATCAGCTGTTGGCGCCATTTTTTATGTGGGTCAACTACAGTGGATATTCAAAAAGGAAACCTTAAAAAAGATTTATTTTGCAGCTTCCTCTTTATCAATTAATTTAATAATTAAATAAATAAATAATTAATCAATTTACTCCGAGAAAAAAATGTTATGGAGTAATTAAGCTTACATGGCCTCACTGAATAGTAAAACCATTCTATTATTTTGAGTTTTTTGATGGAAAGGCGTTTCAGTAACATGAATACTGGGTTTTTTAATAAATCTCTTAAATGCAATTCTGACCTACTGTTACTCAGCTCCACTGTACTTCATCTTACAGGTTGTTGAAAAGATACTTATACAGATTTTAATCCACTCAAATCATAGTCTTTACTGTTTTCCAGTGGAGGCCACTCAATCACAAACACAAAACACTAGAGCGTATTTACATAATGGTTTTGTTTCAATCATTTAATTGCGAACATTCTGTTTTGCACAAACATCAGAGGAAAACACAAGAACGATCGATAGTCGGTGATCGATAGATGGAGGCTCCACTATCGATGCTCCTGTTCCTTCGTTCAGGCGAACTTCGTGTGTAAGTGTTGTGGTTTTTTAGATTTTAAGCTAAGGGGTCATCCTGAAGGATCCTAGTGCTTGGGAGTGGGCTTCGAGAGCTCGGCCAGAGCACGGGCTTCAGCCTCAGCGCTGCGCTTCTTCTCCTCGGCGAGTTTCGCATCCCGAACGACCTTCTGCTGCGCCTCGATCTCACGGACCTTTTCCTCCTTCGAGGACAGGCGGCTCTGGTGGGCGGCACCGTAGGCAATGCCCACCAGGAGCAAGGACCATCTGCCGAACTTGATCAAAGGGGAAACGCGAACGGGAGCCTGCGACATGGTTTCTTCTTCAAGTTATGTAATTTTCCGACCGGGAACTGCAAGAAATTGGGGACTATCAGTTATACATCTTACTTCCGAGGTTCCCCAGTACTCCCTCTGCACTGCAGAAAACCCTTCTTCCTTTATTTTTATGCAACTTTTGGTGTTAAATAAGCGAAATTACCCAAATTGGTGGAACGATTGCAACGGCAGCAGTATAACCTTAAATCAGCTGTCAAATTTGACAAGCGGCGGTAATCGATAGTTTATATCGGCGAAAAATCGGCGTTGCCAGCAGGTTGAAAAAAGTTAGAACCAAAAATTAAATATATTACATTACCTTAACCTTTTTTTTTATATTTGATTTTTGTTATCATGACTTATTTCCAATTGATGCTTAGATTTCAATATTTTTATAATAGTGATTTCTCCTTTTTGTTACCATGAAGTAAATATTTTATAAACAAGAAAGTTTGATAAGAAAAACCAAAACAAAATACACACGTAAGAATTTATAAATCCAATTAGCCAATTGACAATCAAATTCAAATTTCCTGTGTTATCAAAATGGCGCAACGTTATGCAACACTGTTAGATTCCCAAAAGACAAACGGTCCCACTAAAGGCAGAACGCAACCTGGAAAAAAGTATTGTTTTCGGGAAAACATGGATAATTGCAGCTAAAACGCGACTTGCAAATTTGGCGAAAACATTTTTAGAGCCACCAAGAATCCGGCAATTCGGCGGAACCCAGAGACAAATGAAAATTGACGCGTGTTAAATGCAAACAAGAAAATTCCAGCACAGACCTTGAGTGGCGCACACACTCCCACACCTCACCTGCGTCACACATACACACACGCACACCGATAAAGAGCAAAAGGGAGAGAAGATCGAAACGTTCCCTATTTTTTTTGTTGGTCTTTTTTTTATAAACAGGAAGTGGATTTTAGGGGATAGGGGATCCTTTTTGCAGCTGGCAATATGGTGAACGTACCCCCGCTGCTCTGCAGCACCCCGCCTCCCATTGATTTCGGGGATGACGACGATTCCGGTTTGCAATCCACAATCCACTTGGACGAAAATGACGAATACTCTAATTTTGGCTTAGTCAGCAGCTCGAAAGGTAAGCCTGACTGCGAACTACCCTCCCCTCACACCTGGTACTCACGCAAAGCCCACTTTTTAGAACCCCCTCCACCACCAGATCCCGTTGAGGAATTTCGAGAAAAGCCACCGGATTTGCTGGAAAATAAACAAACTGCAGAGGCATTCAATTACCAAGTAAAGCAGGCGATGGATTATGATGTTTATCGAGAAGCGGCACCACCCACTCCGCCCCCTTTAGGTCTGGAGCTCGAGGAGGAGGAACTGGAGGAGCAGGTGCCCTCCTTAAAGCTGGACAGCCTAAGTCTCTACTCCACGGAAAGCGTTTCCGCCGCCTCCACACTCTCACCCACTGCGGAAACGGAGGCGGTGGCTCCGCCCGTGATGCAACCAACCAAAGCCCCTGTCCTCAGCCACCAAGTCACGCTGGAGGATGTGTCCGATGACAGCGACGAGGAGTGCTCGCCAAAGAAGCCCAAAGAACTATTTATACACGAGGGAGCCGTGGATTTCTTTGCCATCGAGGTGCTGGCCACACCAACGCAACCAAATGAGGGGCTCCAACAAAGTCCAGGAAAAGAAAAGGCTCTAGAGGATACTCCCCAACATGAAGAAAGCTTTAGAAGTTCGGAACACCAAGTGGAATGTTCAAATAACTTAGCGAAACCACTGGATAACCAGAAACAAAGCTTAGCAGACCCACAAGAAACCCCCAACCATTGGTGTAAAATAGCGGATACTGATACATTTCATTTTGGAAACTTTGAAGCGCCACCAAAAGACTCAGTACCCAATCAAGTTATCCCAGAATGTCAAGATGACGAAGAAGATGAAGATGACTTTGGGGACTTCGGAGATTTCTCAGCTACAGAACCAGAAAAGGATGCCAAAGAAACTCCAACGACAGCTCTTCCTGTTAACTCTGTCTTTGAGGCACCGTCTTTGGATTTGCAATCATCAGTAGGTACAGAAACTCTGGATGTATCTTCAAAGCCGCCTCAGCCAGAAGGAGCAGATGATGGCTTCGATGACTTTCAAGAGTTTGCCACACCTACGCAAGAAAGTCCTGGTCAAAACGAAGACGACGACGATGATTTCGGTGACTTCTCAGAGCCCGTAGTCGGTTCCATTTCAGTACCTCCACCACCGCCGCCAGCCGCTGTCCACCTGAGCATCGATGAACGGGTGAAACCGATATTGGAGATGATGTTCCCACAATCAAAGGAGCTTCAAAGCACGAGTGTGGATATACGAAAGCCATTGGCGCAGTGCCAGCGATTCAACTTCGGTGCAATTGAGCATGCGCAGGCTTTGGAGTACCAGTGGAGCAGCTCCGAGATGAGGCATGCGCTCGTTCGATCGCTTGGCATCGATTCCAGGAATATAGTAAGTCTGAAAACTTTTTAGATTGAGTTGCTGTCTTAAAAGTTGAGAGGCAGAATTAATTTTACTAGAAATGTAATTCATTCACATATTAAACAAAGACTGAAAACATTTAAAAGCCTGTCCTATCCTTAAAGTTTGAACTGTCAACATAAAAAGGTTTATATTGGAATTAATAATAATAATAAGTGGATATGTTATGTGTATATTATAAACCCTAATCATAGTATCTGTCAAGTTTAATTTATTTTATTTCCTACAATATATAGCTCTTCGGCGACAAGTGGAACTCATCGATGCCACGTTTTGCCGCCAACCTGAGCTTCGATCCACTGAAGCCGATGAAACCGCTCTCGAGCGGCGCTACTAGCACCCTGGAGTCGATCTCCAATCCCAGCAGCTACCAGGGTGAGTTTCCATAATTCTTTGCGAGATTGTTCCACTTAGTTGCCGCAAATTAACCGCTACACAAGTTTCGTAACTCGAGAAATTGCCACCCTTATCGCCTAACGCTCGCTTTACTTTCAAACGCTTTTCGTTGCCTATTTCCCGATCCTATTGACACACGCTTCCCGGATTGGCCTGCCGTTCGATTGGCTGCTCCTTTCTATAACTTTTCGTTTGCCTTGTTTTTCTTGTGACCACATTTCTTCTAACTATCTCAACAAACAATCAAAAAGTTTATCCTTACGATAAATTGTATCTAGAATCACATGTACAGACATTACAATTGGAACAACTAGACCAACTAACGGTGGTGGCTAATGCTGATAAAATAAATCTTGTTACCTCTAACTCCCACACCAATAACAACAACGATAATGGTGACAACGACGTTCCTGCTTCCGTTGACCAACTGGATGATAAACCACAACCACCTGTGATGGATTTGACGACCAATAACAATCACAATTTGACAATCGATTTGCACCACTCTCCTCCACTCACACATTTTGCCACCATCTGCAAATACAACAATAATGTCGATAATAACAATCTTAACAACAATCATGCAAATACTGCAACAATGACAATAACAATTAACACAAATCTCACTGCTCACGACGCCTTGCTGGATTTTAGTAAGTTTCGTTGGCTCTGTGCGTGTGTTGTAGTCTTTTCTCCTCCTTTTTCGGTTTGTTCAGTTTCGGTTATCTATATACTTCTCAGCTCTATTTCTATATCTACCTGTTCTGTCCTGTCCACCCAGATCCACAGTTTCCCGATTCTTGTTACTTTGGCACAAAGCATCCGATCTCAGCTAGCTCAGTTCAAGCACAAGTAGTTGAAACCCACCCAAGACCTACCTTCATTTTCACATTTTTCTTAGCTAGATACAATTCATACTAATCTATATTGTTCCCAATGTAAGCCATCATCATCTGATGTGTTCCTGAAATCTCTGGCAACTCGAAGGTTATGCTACACAAGTAGAATTCTTTAAGTAAATACTCAACAACAGTAAAATCATTATATTAAATTGGCGAAAAGATTCCCGTAGTAATATTATTTTCAAAGAAACATTTGGAATACGTGTAGAGATTTTTGCTTGTAAAAAGAGATTTTTCTTTCAGATTTGTTAAAAAGAACTTAAACAAACTTCATTTATATATGTTCTAAATATCAAATTAAACTGAAGATTCAATTATAAATATGTAACGTAGTTTGCTAATAGTTTTTCCTACGATGTGTTTTGAAAACAACTCTATACTACCACCGTAATTTTAGCATATACATTTATTTAAATAATATGGATATTATGATTCTCAATTTTTTGTTTAACACCCAGCAGTGGTTTTCGAAATATAAATATTTCTTCAACATAACAGATGACTATAGACTAAGCTTTACAAAGATATCAGATTATATTTAATTGTAATCATGATGACAACGAAGTAATTGTTTTCTTTTCTCCGCACAGGACTGGAAAACTCAACCGCAGCACCGGCGAGCCAAACTGAAACGCGGACTGGCCCGCCTCATGGGGAAGAGTCCTCCGGCTCCGGCTCTGGCTCCGGTTCCTCCAGCAACTTCGACGGCGAGGAGCGACAGAACCATATCTACAAGTCATCTCCAATCTCCGGCTCCGAGTCGAACCATCTTGAACCCGCAACAGCGCCACCAGCAGCAATTGTTGCTCCAGCAGCAGCGACGATATCGACTGCTCTACCAGCAGACAGCTCTGCCCACCAGCTCAACGGCGGTGAGCAGCTGCATCAGCAGCGGTCGGAGCAAGAGCAGTTTGATTTGAGGGCCACGCCGCCTGCTCAGGAGGAGATGGTGGGCAGCTCGATAGCCAGCTATGCGGTGCCGCTGAAGGAGACCCACATATACACACCCTCCAAATCGGATACGGCAGTGGCCAAGACCACTACATTGGCACCCATTGATTTCGACTACGAGATGGCGGCCACGGGCATTATTATCGATGAGACGGTGGTCAAGAAGGAGTATCGTGATGTGGAGTACAAGCCACCATTTGGGCTGGACTCGCCCAGCAAAGTGAGTGGCAACGGTGCTGCCAGCAACTTTGAACTGCCGCCGCAGGCGGAAGAGGATGACTTCAGTGACTTTCAATCGATGCCGGCGCCCAGGTCGCGGATCGATACACCCACGTTTGGCGAGCAGATGATCCTCAGTCCGGCCATATTGCTGCCCCAAGCCATACCGCTGGCCAAGAAGCAAGCGGCGTCTATCGAGTGGGGAGACAACGCTATGTCCAGCATTAATGCCGAGGAAATGGCCAGGATAGAGGAGTTGTTTTCTTCGCAAGCCAAACCCCTTACGATAAGTGCTTCAGTGGCCAAGAAACCAACTCCTCCGAAGATAGTTCAATCTCAGTCTCAAGAGGATGATGAATGGTCGGATTTTGTCTCTGTTCCAGTTAACCAACAGCATCAGCAGGCACAGCAACAACACTCAATCTCTAACAACAACAATAACGTAAACAGCAGCCTGAGAAAGCCAAATGCAGCACCCAAGGAAGATGAGTGGTCGGATTTTGTGAGCAGCACTCCGCTGCCCTCTCGTCCGGCACCACAATTCAATTCCGGTGCCTGGCAGAGCGCTAATTTCTACAACAATCCGTTGAGTTTGTACCAAGCACAGCAGCAACAGCAACATCCCCACAGCAACCTGGTGCCCAGCAGCATCAGCAGCAACAGCAGCAACAACAACAATGTGCCAGCCATTCCACAGCAAATACACATCATGCATGACTTTTCGACGGCGCCCGTTTCTGGAGGTTTGGGTGTGGGTGCCACAACCTATCAGCAGCATCATCAGCGGCAGCAGTTCCAGATCGGCAACGCCAAGGTGGCCCCACGCATCTCCCTCATTCCCGATCTCAGCTTTGTGGCTCCGGCTTTGCCCACAAATGCTGGTGCTTTCATGGGTGCGCTTCCGAAACCGAGTTTTGGTGCCAAGAAATGACACAAGAAGCTGAGGGTGGGCGGTGGGCGGCTGCCACAGCAGCAGCAGCACCGGCAGCAGCATGTGGGCGGACCACGCCCACTGGGAGGCGGTGAGGCCACCATCCTCACGTAGGCAAAAAGGGGGTGTGTCCGTGGGCGAGCCAGTCAGTATTATGAATCCGTCTGATATTTACCATAAACCGAACCGTCACACACTTAGTTTGATGCAAACTGTGTTCCATGTTGTTGTCGTTGTTGTTGACGTTGTCGTTGGAATAATTGTTGTTATTGTTGTGCGTGCATGTTGTTGTTAGTCGTAGATTCGGATTTAGAAAAAAGAAATGGGCAACAAAAAATTAAACCATGTTGTGCAATATTTCGATTTTAAATTTATGTTGTACTTAATTTTGACACAAAAAAAAAACAATTCCGAAATTATTTTTATGTAGTTAAAAGCATATTTTGTTAAACGAGAAATTATTAGATGGGTTTTGAATTTTTATAAAATATTGCGGAATGTAAATTGTATTTAATATCGGGAAATACAATTTATTTATACAAAAATCAAATTGAAATCGTAAGATTTTTTTATTACTTGTAAATGTTTTTTTTTAACCCAGTGAATTTCAAAAGCTGTTTGGAGTGTTTCTGTAAACTTGAGGGATTTTAAATTTTAAGCTTAAGAGCATTCGATGCTATACTTCCGGTCATATCAATATACCATCTTAAGATTTACGTTAGATGACCAAAACAAAAGATTAGAAAATTAATAGGATAGTTTTCAAAAATACCCCAAACGATTTCTGAACTAAAAATTCCAAATCCGCTCTATTTTACAAAAATTAAAACTAGTAAAATTCCATGATGATTTTAGCTTTAATGATTCCAAAATCCGCACCCTACATTGGCCAGCAAAGTCAGAATACTCCACCAATCTGAGGACTGAACGCTAGAAAGCATTCCACAGACTAACTTCACTTTTTGTAACTCTCCCAAAAAATACTCCAAAGCGAATGCGGGCTACCACATTGAAGAAAACCCAACCCGCCTGTTGCGAATTTTTCTATATTGTGTACTTAAACCAACAAGAAAAGCGAACTAACCAAGCAAATATAGTTAACGTTGTAAATGTAATAGGATTTGTTAGTTGATAGAAGAACTCCCGTGCATTCCAAGTGTAAATGAGTGTGTCTGTTTGCCATGATGATCTCCAGAAAATCGCTGGAAAACGAAACCCAATCCGCTCCAGTTCTTGATTATTGTTTTTTCGTGTTAATGTGTTTTCATTTATTTATTTTACTTTATGTTACGCACTTTAAGTTGAATGTGTGTGTGTTGCGTGTGTGTCTGAAAATTATAAACAATTTATCAACTAAAACTAAGTGTTTGATGTAATCATATGTTTTTAGACTTAAATGTAAATTACAAATAGTTTTCCATTTGTTTTGTTTTATTTTGCCAAGTCAATGAAAAAAGGTAAAAACAAGAACATGATTATAGATGATTGCTGCTTGATTTAAATAAATGAATTAACTATGTACTAGAACATATTAAAATATATTTACCATATTGTATAATTAAAATATATGCGCAGATTAAAATAAACCTATTTAAAAAACGAAATCCTTCAGTATTGGAGCATTCATTGAAATACAGAAATCTGGGTAAGGGTAGGGACAACACAAATTTGAACTCTCTTTCGCTAAATTATATAAGCCGGATTTCTGGGACGGGGCGAGGTGATCTATCGTTAAATATATATATATATTATATGGGTGTACTAGTGAGTGTGTGATTGAAACCTGCGTGTGAGTAGAGAGATTATTCGTAAATTGAAGCACTAGGTGTCCAGCAGTCCACTACTCTCCTGGAGAAGCCTCGCGAATTAATGAGTGTGTCCATGATTTAAATCAACAATTTCGTGTCAGTTCCTAGAGGTTTGGGGCAGGTGCGAGGGGATGTATAGCACTATGGCAGTAAATAGTACGTAATAGTTAGAAATTACACATGTATCTAATATAAATATCTATATAAATAGTGTACGATCGATTTTTATCAATGTGAATGTGGATCTTCATTAACATTTTCATGAAAATCATCATCTCTCTAAATGGTCAACAGTTTTCTTTTTCATTCTATTATCTTAAGATGCCTTAATGCTCAAGCGCGTTGTTTTGTGGTATTATAGTTATTATTATCTCTCCTAACTTAAGCCTTGCTCTAACATAATGAAACGCTAACAAACCAAAAAAAATATGCTCATGAGTGTATGGAGACATGGGGGTGTAAGTCTTTTGACAAAGAATCTAAGGGGTGAATCGTAATCGTTGAATTTTAAGGCATTTTGCTTTAGGGATATTGGGTCTAATATCAATTTACAATCTCTGTAGTCTAGGTCTTTTTGATAATTTTGTTCTTATTAGTTAATTTCGGTTATTTTACTAAACCAAGAGATAAGCTGGATTTGTATCTTTGTTTGGAAACGGATAAGACCCAAATTGACATTAGACCAATTACTGAGGCAAACTTGTTAGAATTTACACTGATTACTTTCCGTCCCTGGCTAAAGCCACCCTAGAGTGAGGAGTGCGTTGGGTGCCGCTATCCGTTATGATATTTTGAACTAACAGTTTACATACTTTTCCTCAAATAAGATCTAAGCTCGGGGATGCCCAGAACTGGTCGAGTTCTTTGTTTCATTTTGATTTAAATTGCCGGAATTAAAATTGATTAAATTGGTCTTACCAAAAGTAATTGAAATTATTAAGTAAATCCAATTCCGACAAAATATACCAATGGGAACAGGGGTGAAAACAATTTTGTTATAGTTCAAGGCGAGCCCATCTACGTACAAAAGCTAAGAAATAATCCCTAGGACCTAAAACATGTTTAGCCCTGGCATTATTTGAAAGATTCTCTACCTCGAACATGGTAAATAGTCTTCGTTTTAAGGCTGAACCGCATCCCCTTTTGCGAGCTCCTGGAAAGCTCTTCCTCAGAAGGCCAACCAGGGGTGGTGCAGCAGCGACTCCTTGGAGCGATCGCCATAATCGTAGGTCAATTCCTCGCCCGGCTCGATGTCGTCCTTGGCCAGGAGCACGAGATGAGGCCGCTGCTTGATGGGCACCACCTTGGTCATAAGGTTGCCGTTACGCGAGTGATTGATTAGACGCCCCAGCTTTCCGGTGTCCACGGTGGCGTCGATGCAGTACTGCTGGTTCTTGTGCTTGAAGTAATACATATAGCACCCGGCATTCTCGTCCAACGCATAGCGTTTTTCCCGATCGCCGGCCTCGCTGATTGAGATGAGATCTCCCACGTACTCGACCACAAACTCGTTCCTTTTAAAGGGCCGCTCGGCGACCACACCTCTTCCCTTGCCCATGAAGTGGCGGACTTGCAGGCCCTCGCAACGCTCCTCGAGCACGGCCTGCTCCAGACCTCGCATCCATTCCTCCTTGACGACCGTCTTGGTCTTGCGTACGCTCCTGCGCACCGGGAAGAAGTCGGTCATCTCACGGTTGCCATTGGTGGCAGCCAAAGGCAGCGGTGGTTGACCCTTCGCTGGCCCCTTGCTCTTGGGCTTTGATTTTACGGGCGCTGGCTTGAGCATGGCTTTCATGCCCGTTTTGTTGCTGTTGGCTGTGGCTGGTTCTTTGTTCTGGTTTTCCCGCTCCTCGGCGGCCTTAAGCAGGGCATGAACATCGTCCTCGTCCTCCTCTTCATCATCGTCGTCGGCTAGCACCACTACGATGTCATCCTGCTGCTGCTGCTGTGGCTGTGGTTTCTGTAGCTGTGGTTGTGGCTGGTAAGGCGCTTGTGGCTTTGGCTGGTTCAGTCTTCGGCGTGACTTGCAGGCGGCCACCGCCGCCGTGGTGGCGGGCAATTTCCTTGGCGACTTGCGCGGCGACAGCGGATCTGTGGATCCGCCTTTGCAAATTCCTCCGGTGGCCTTCAGACCCGTCTTGATGGGCGATGGGCACAGTATGCGATGCGGAGTGGCTGGCTTCCGGCGTCGAGCTGCTCCTGCTGGCGATTCTGTGTTGGCAGTGAGACCGCAGGCCACGCCGCTGTCACAGGAACTGCTGTCGTGCTGTTCCAAATCGAAGTTTGGCCCAGCCAGCGGTTCCTTTTGACCGTTCAGGCTTACTATTTGATTAAAGCGCCCGTTAAGGCAGGCATTTAGCACCGATGGTGGAGACGAGAATACGGCTCCCGCTAGTTCAAAACTCCGGTTGATTTTTATGCTGGAGGCTTTGGTGGGCGTGCGATCTATGTCCAGAGTCAGCACGGGCTCCTGCAGGAATATGTTGTCGGTGCTGCTGCTGTGCGTAGAGCTATGACTGTCCCTCAGCGCGGAGCGATGTGTCTGAAAGTCAGCCAGGGAGCCCAGTCCTTCGTGGGTCTCGCGGGCCTCGTTGTTGTGGAGCATTTGAGGGATTTCCGGGATCTCCTGCATGGCCTCCAATTCATGGCGATAGCAGGGCGAGTCTGAGGAGGCTCTGGAGCTGCCATCAAACAACAGCTCCTCCACCACCTGCTGCAGTTCCTCGTCCATTAGTTTTTGCTCTGCCTTGGCATCTTCTTCATCTGCGAAGGCCAGGTGGTCATCTGTGTGCTGCAGCTGCTCCTCCTGCAGTTTTAGCTCCTCATCCTCTATGTTTAGCTGCTCACCCTGAAGATTTAGCTGATCGTTCTGCAGTTCTAGGTCCTGACCTAGCTCTGTGGGTATTGTCTTTTGGGAATCCTTGACGGCAGCATTGGCTTTGAAAAAGTTCTCAATGGTGCGCGTTTGCGAGCGAGTGGCCAAAGGTACCCCTAAAAAACAAGGGGGTTTAGCTACAGAAGATAACCTCAAAACAAACAGAGCCACCTACCTATTGTCCGATCCGCTTTGTTGTCTTTGTGTTGGCCTTTGTGGGCCATTGTGGTTTCCGGCAGCTGGCCATTTTCGCTGACCTTCATCAGTCGACAGTCTTTCCGCTTGGGGCTGGCAAAATATTGATCCTCCAGCAGATTTCCCGCCACATTCAGTGGCAGCGTTTGGTCAACCGGAAGGTCTGATCCCGAGGAGGCGCCGCCAGAGGAGGAAGTGGATTCCTTTGCGGGCCGTTGTCGTCTGCGCACCATTATCATTTAGGAAGTGTGGAATATAGGCGCGCGTGATCGATGGGCGGGCGCAGTGGGTGGGCGGTAGTAATCTTGGTTTCGTTGGCGCGTTTTCCTGGACACGCGTTTTTCCCACTCGCTCACGCACACGCGGAAAAAATTAGCTGAGGAAAATCAACAGAAAAAAAACGTAGAACTCATAAAACATTTGCACATTACATGTGTGTTTTTTTCTCTTTCTTTCTCTCTGCACTTTTCTCCTCTTCTCGCCCCTCTTCTTGCGTACAGTTTTCGCCACTGAAAAAAACTTCGCCCGTCGATATTGTTGTTGTCGAGTTGTGCGAAGCAAGCCAAAGAGGAAGAAAACATTGAAAATCCCCGGAATTCACCTCGGTCGGAAACTGTCGTCATACGCAGCAGCGCATTTTTAATCGAATGCGATCGACTATATACATGGCAACATTTCAATGGCGGGGGAACTTAATTGTTGCACTTTTTTTCGGTTCTTCTTTGGATTTGCGTCGGTGCTAGTGGTGGATAAACGTCGATGCCAGCATCGGTGTCATCGATTGCTATCGACTTTTAGCACGTTTGGACCGATTCTTATCGACATTTTTCCCGTATCTTATCGACTTTTTCCCGTTTCGTTTGCTATTTATCGATTTTGAGTTAGATAATCATGAATAACACAAAAAATGCCTATAACATAGGTATATGTTTAAATACAAATACTTAGGGTATTCCTCGAACTGGCCCCTCCCTGAATTGTAAAAAATTCAACACACATTTTTGGCATGCGATAAAACAAACCAAAGTTGTTTTTTTTAATTATCAAATAGTCAAATTAAGCAAGCAGTTAAATTATTTTTTTAAATTTGTAGGACTAAAATCAAGTAAGCTTTTACTTTTTTTTAATTTTTCAAAATAATTTTCAATGTTTTGGGAATTAAGAAAACTTTTTTTTGTTTACTTTTAAAGCTATTAACAACTGAAGTTATAACACTAGTTTCTGGCACACTGATAAAGATATTTACGAGATCACAACTAAGCATTATACTTCAATTAAGCATTAAATATAAAAAAAAACCAAAAACATATTTAAAACCTTTAAAATTTTAATACTTTGTTATTGTAAAATTATATCATTCGCAATAATCACTCAATGCAGGCTGATTGTTAATTAGGAAGAACCTAAACAATTTAACAATAATAAATTTCAAATTTATTTTTTAAGTACACATTTAATAAAAGAATATTTTCGTTTTATAGTTTACTCGTTGTCTGAACATTTTTTTTGTGTTAATTTTTAGAAGTACAAGTGCGGCCTACTGAGATAAGACATAAGGTTGTTCATAAAAAGCCTAAGTTTTATTTAACATTTAATACAAGTTTTTTTTTTACATTTTTGTAGCATTTTTTGCTAGTTTAACAATAGCTGTCTCGTTCAACAATCTCCATGACTTGGCTAATGTTTTCCAAACAGATTTGGCTCGGCAGAAACAGAAGCTCCCCCGGCGGCATTTAGCTCCTCGAGCAGTTCATTCGACTGGCGATGTCGATTCGGGATATTGGCATTTGAGTATAAAACATTTTCGTTATTAATGTCGTTTAGTCTGGGATGGGGGTTGCTCTCAGGGTCCGCATCTGGCATCCGGTTGCGGTTGGCATTGAAGTCCGGAACCGTGGCACAGTTTCGACTTATCAATGAACGCTGGAGTTGCGACAGACATCTGTGAGAAAATATATTAAAAAAATTATCACTATCAATCTCTGTAGGATTTCTTTAAAGTAAAAATTTTAAAACTTCTTCCTTGAAATAACTTAAAAAACTTGAACTGTGGGGTGCTTTCTGAAATTACTTATGTTTTTAAACTAGGTAAAATAAATGTAATACAAGTGTGTAAAAGTATGCAACAATATATTTTTAATCTAAAAAACTTTTCAAAAGAGGGCGTTAGTATATGTATGTACTGCATACTTTTGGACATTTCTTTAAGTGTTTTCAAACCTTTTGTCATTTCTGTGGCCCCATTTAATCAAAATAAAAACAGTATTCTTAAAAAATTATCCTGATTAAATTTTTACGCTTTTGACAAATTAAAAATTTTGAGGTGGAGCTTACCGCTCCAGTCTGCGTTCGCTGCTCCAATCCTGCAGATCGTACAGATCCGTGAATCCCAGCTCGTTGCTCCGATGGAAGTGTCCGTTTGTCAAAAGAGGTGATCCAGGACTAAGTGCCCTTTTACCATTTGTCCAGCCGCGGGAGTACTGAAAAGTCTGTCCCATGCAGGCCATGGACAACGTGAAGATTAAGAGCGGCAGCAGCAGAAGGCGCAACATGTTTTTGCAGAAGGAAGTCCTGTTTACAGGACACTTGATTGGAATAGGGTCCTTTCGCGTTCGAAACACAAATGCGTCTGAGATTTTGAATGCTTCTCGACGGGCTTTTATATCGGTGTTGGGCCATAAAACATAGATGCCAAGGGATGCGTGATTTCTTTCAGCCAGAATCCTTGCTTCGATGCCCCCAGAAACACACACTTACGCAGATTAACCAGGGATTATTAGCACCCAATTGTTTCAAGGCGGCAGTTAGCACCCACATATGGCCACGCCCCCTGCCCCTGCCATCGCCCACTTCGCGCCAGCTGGCTGCTCAAACTGAATGCATTTGCTGATTGGAAAACTACCCCTTTTTCCAGGGAAAAACAAAAGGCGGGTGGCGGCAGAAGTAAAAGGCTTAAACTAAAAATATTGTGGCCGAAAAAAGTAATTTGTGCCCATTGCCGAAGGGAGTAAAGTGTCCAAATCAGAGTTGGTCCACCTTTAGATAGCCTTAGGTAATTGAATTTGTGGGGATTTACCAAAAATAGCATTTATAAAAAAATACAGAAGTGAAAATACATTTTTCAGGTATAAGGCAACATTTAAAATAAGTTAAAGACTAGTTACCAAAAATAGCATTTAAATAAAAATACAGAAGTGAAAACACATTTTTCAGGTATAAGGCAACATTTTAAATAAGATTAAAGACTAGTCACTTGCAGTGGTTATAACAAGTAATTCAGTTTTAAGAGCACATCACCATTTTATCAAACACGTTTTTGTTTCAGCATCTGAGAATGCTCTTACCTACTAAGATCTCTTGCAAACATATTTACAACACATAAACATTGTTTATAAACATACAAAAATATAAAATTCATATTATAAATATAAAAAATATATAACACGGACTGGCATTAACTATGTTATAGACTAGTTATTTCGCTATCGGGCACATGTGCACCATTTGCACCATTTGCTCCATTCTGCTCCAGCTCCACGGCACTCTTTTGCTCATTGGCCTTTCGGCGCTTCAGGAGGAAATAGCACACACTAGAATTTAAAAATGTAATTTATTGTAGCCCCAAACAAGTAAAGCCAATATAAAAGTACTTACACAAAGACCAAAACGTTGGGTATATAGAAAATTTCGCCAAACAGCCAAATTGCACCTGGGAATGAATCAACCGTGCTTTTATAGATTTCACTAAAAATTGGGGGGAAGATGAATTGGGCAATTGGCTCACTGATGCCAAAGATGGAGTACATTTTGCCTGCAATCGAATAATATTTGCAATAATTATAGCTTTTAAATAGTAAGGGGAAAAAATCTCGAGTACATTTTATTAAATAAAGGTATTAAAAAAAGGTAAAGAGGCATCTAATGATCCTATCTTTAGAAACCATCTTATGTCATCTAAATTTAATTCCTTTACATTACTTTGTCAACTTTTTTAATTTAATTTGGTTAGCTTTTCTTTTATTTTATAAGTAACTTTTAACTTTTTAAATTAACTTACTCAGCTCATCGCCAGCTACGATGCTGGAGCCGATGGTCTTGATGGCTATCACTCGCAAACTGACGAACATGTCCACCACTCCAGCCACATAAAAAGAGGTGGTGGTACTGGAAAAAGCCTGCAGAAACCAATCCATACTTAGTCGAAACCTTTAGTCCATATTCCATTTAATTACTCACATAAAGCACGCGGGAGCAGACAATAGACAAAGCGGATAGCATTCCGATCATGGAGTCGGAAAATTTGAGCAGCTTGCTCAGAATAGCGGTGCCAATGAAAGTGCCCACCAGTGCAGCACCACTGGACAAGGTCAGGTAGATGCTGAAGTCGTTGCCATTCCAGGCGAGCTTCTTCAGCGTGAATCGGTACCAGTAGTCGTTCTCCCCGGACGTGGGACCCACGGTCAGGAAGTAGGCACTCAGCAGGAGGATCAGCAGCATGCGTCCGTTGTTGGGTCGCTTGATCAGAGGAAAGCGGATGCAGTCGAGCACTAGTGTGGGATCGAAGAGTTCCTTCCAGATGGAGCGTTTCGGAGGCACCACCTCCACTTTGGGCTCCATGTGCGGAGTCAGCTGGAAGTTGACATTCTTGTTTCCCTGCTGTTCACCCACATTCGTGGTCTCGTAGGCCATGTTATCGGTACCCCGCTTTGGTGGCAGGGTAGTGGGCAGTGGTGGTGGCTCATTTGCTTGGCCGCCATTCGTAGCAGTCGACGGCGTGGTCTTCACCTCTTTTATAAAGAAAATAATGTAAAATATCGCAATCAGCTGGAAAGCTATGGCTGAGGCAAAGGACCCTGAAAGAAAGGTTAAAAGAAAATCAGTGTCAAGCAAAAAGGTAAGGTAACTAAAAATAAAAAAAAGATTTAAAACTATGTTGTACATGTCGGAAATTAATGCAAAAAAAAACTTTTTATTATGATAAGTCACAAATAAAACATTTATTATTTAAATATTGTAAAGTAGGCTATTAATTTAAAGTTCTTAGATGCTGACATTAAAAAAAAATTGTGGCAAAAGTACAACTTCTGGCAGATATGTATGGTTCTAGAGATCAAAAAAGATTAAAACGCTCTAAGCGAAGCGAATGATACTTACATGTGTATCCTAAAGTAGTAAAGAGCACTCCACTTATCGGTTGACCTAGGAAAGTAAGCAATGAATTATCTTCATTTCATAATTCTTTGATTATAAAATACCTATGAATGGAACTCCTGTGACGAACATAGCAAAAATGCCAAAGCGGAAAACTCGATCCTCCTCGGGCGTGGCTATGGTGATATAACTATAAATTGCCATCAGACAGAAGGTCAATCCGCCGAAAAGAGCTGGAACGATGGCCTCACAATAAGCACCAAACTCCATGGGAAGCGAATCAAAGAAAATTGATGAGATGATTTGACCTAAAATATTTCACAATTATTTATTATTATATTGAAAATTAAACTACTTACATGTAAAGGATAGTGCCTCTCCAACAATTGGCATTATCATGCAGGGCTTGCGTTTATTATATCGATCAGCCCATCCTCCGGCGAAAAGGAGCACAATCAGTGGGAAAATTGCAGCTGTTGAGGAAATATGGTGAAATTTTCCATTAACACTTGAGTTTACTGCATAAACTTAAGCTAATATGCAAATACAATCATTTTGGCATTTTGTCGACGCAGTGTTAAACATATAAAACTGGATTTTACGTGCTAAAATATTTGACAAAAATAACTCGTTCTTGAAAATAATCTGCTTAAAGCAATAATTCCCACTTTTGATTAATAATTGTGTGATATAGGACTTAAATTTATTATTATTTTATTTGTACATAATATTACCAATTACACTACATGTCTTGAGATCTTAAGATACTATACTTTTGTTGTTATTATTAATAAGCCAATTTGAAATCCTATTGTTTTCATTCTTAATAATTCAATATTTTCTAGTACATCTTAAAGATGATTTAAATGTCGAGAAATAAAGATAATATATTGTTTTTACTTTTTTATTGAAACTTGTTATCACAATAAAACAGTCCAGGCAAAGTTGCATTTAAACAATAAAAGCCTTTAATACTTATACCAACAAATTTTGAAATTGAATCTATGACATGACGTTTTAATTATTTTAATTATCGCTCTCTGATGCAATGCATTTTAATGAACCTGGCGTTTGTTGAAGTTATTAAACAAGAAGACGTTCTCTGGCGCAGAGAACCGGAATTCCGCGTAGCTGTATGCAAATGTCATTTTCGCATGGCGCTTTTGCTAAATTGGGAATATAAAATATTATCTATGGCTCGAATGAAAATGCCAATGACAATGGCAGTGAACCCACGAAAGTCACTCAAAACATATCGTTGTAAAGAACAGGTTTGGAGCGATTACGATTACGGGCCAGCCACTAGGCTAAGGCCTTTAGAAGCGGCTCTAAATTAATCACCCAACGATGTTATGGGGGAATTTTTGTTAGCACCATCAGAAGCGAAAGAGAACTCATGAGCGAATCAATTAAAGAAGGTAATTAGATGTTCGGATAACCGCTAATTTCCGACGACATCCATCAAAAGACACGGATTCTTTAAATGAAAAAAATGTACACCGGGACAAACACAAAAAATAAAAGAGAAGATTTTAAATGTACATCTGTCTTCCATATTTAGAAAAATCACATGCACTTTTAGAAAACATTTGTAACTTGCTTAAATGAATATTTATTTTTCTACATTTTTAAAAATGGTATAAACTACGAATATAACAAATCCTTCATCAATATGTTTCTTAATTAGTTTTTATGAGAGCAGTAATAAACCTATATAGCTATTGGAAAAATATGACCAAAACTTTTTACATTTGGCTGCCCCTAATGATCGTATATCTTTACTTTATTGTTAAACGAATTTGTAGTGCTAATTTTTTCCCGTGCACATAGCGTTTGGTCATAATCCCAAGGGTTAAGCGAGATTTAATATGCAGAGGAGTCAAGATGGGAAAAGAATTCGAGTTTAATTTAAGCACAAACCTGAAATTTAAGCAATGCTAATGCCAAGCCCCAAACTCGTATACTTAATGAACGACTCGTGTTATGTATATGATATATAGTACTTGAGAATTTTACCCATCGGAGCACGTTTGCCGGAGACATCCGCCGCTAGGATCTGAGCCTCGAGTTCCGCCTTGCAGACCGTGTAATTGAAGCCAGTTGCTCCGATCACCAGGCCAGCAAGATCCGGCGTGGCGCCCTGGGTGGTGTTCTCGAAGTTGAAGTCTTCGCACTCGATGCCCAGCTCGGATTTATCCAGCATCGTGTCACAGACCACCTTGTTGTAACCCAGATTCACGCGACAGGCCTTGTCCAATGGGAAATTCTGCATTGCCACCGCATTGAACACGGAGGCCATAAAGTAGAAAAAGAAGAAGGGCTCGATGACCAGATAGTGGCGATAGCGCCATAATTTCTGGAAGTAGTTAAGCCTGGGCTCCGCATCCATCCCATTTCCATTCCCCGCCGTATCCCCCGATGACCTTGGCTTTGCCATTTTTTATAACACTTGTTTAATTCCTATAAGCTTTAATTTGTATTCGATTCGGTTGGTGTTGAGATTGCTCTAGCACATTTCAGCGATTTGATCAACACGTCGCACCAAGTTCTAAGCTCAGACTAAACTAAGCGTCGACTCCGGATCGGATCGGGCCAAGTCCGCTCAAATGGCCAGCCGCTTGATACGCACAAGAAACTTGTTCAATCATTTCTTCGCTGCTTTCGGTATTTTTTTTTGTGTTTGTCAGCTTCGATTAGAGCAGAACAATGATAAATATGAAGAATTGTCACCGGGCCGCGAACTATGGAATTTCGCATGCGCTCCGGCGAGATTCATTTCCCGCTCAGTTACAATTACAGTGGATGTCGACTATATGTCTATCATATAACACTATATCTTTTGTTCAATTAGATATGTTTATATGTATGTACATAGGTTTCAATCTTTGTTTACTTTTAAAGAATAAATTTAGTTAATAGAGAAAAGTAAATATAAATGAAGGTGCAAAATTAATATTATAATAATTGCTTTTTGTTCCGGCCTTTTAAATACCAAACCGAAACGTGTTAATCACCTATGGCCCAAAAATACTTGAAATTCATGTTTGGTTTTTTAATATGAACTGTAGAAATTCAAAAATATACTTCATGAACGTCATAACATTGAAATCAGGTTTTTAAATATGTGCCAAACCGGATTCAAACTTTTTTATGCATTTTTCTGCACACAAAATGACAGTAAAATTATAACTACAATAGTTAAAAATATTTCGACGTTCCTCTTAACCGATATTTACTGTAACTTGTTTGCTTTTCTACTGGTGTCTTGCACAGAAAAAAACTGATTATTCGTATTGAAATGTAAATGTTTAATTGATGGTTCAATTTGTATATAGTCTTAGAATAAAATGTTTACCTTTGCTAGCGTAAGATTGTATATCATTTGGCTCCAGTAACAAAAGATCCACTTAAATCTCACCGATACTCAATAAACGTTTTACGTTTTAATATAAAAATAAAATGTTGGAAAATGTATAATAGATTTTAGTTGGTCACAAAGCAAATTAAAGTTGTTGTCCAAAACAATTTGTAAAATTTTCCGGGTGACCATCATAGCTATCATATAAACTTTTCTTTCTCTGTGGTTGTTATTGCATTGAGCGGCAATCGAGTGCTGATTAATAACTGAGATGTTTTTGCGGCATAGCCATGTGCGATTGACAATTGTCTTTGTATTGGTTCGATTACTTAGGGCTACAATTACAGGTGGTGGTGGGCACAATATCCGCTCCTACTCTGTCCAGCGGTGGGTGCAGTTCTGGTTGGTGCACACATAGTACAGTCTCATCTCCTCCTCGGCGCGACGTGTTTGTGCCTGGAAGAAGACCGCCTCCCGGTGGGAGCACTTGGGACAGGCGTGGTCTTCCGTGCGCGGCAGCGTGGGATCCGATATCACGTCCGGCACAATGTGGGTCAGCTCGTCGATTTCGTGCATGATCTTGTTTACGTAGATGCAATTGGAGTCCGCCTCCTGTTTGTAATCACAATTCCGGCAGGCGTACAGCAGGATCTTGTTCTCCTTGTCCTCCTTGGGATACAACATGTTGTTGCACTCCTGGCAGAAGCGAATGCCCACGAATCCGGGTCCCTCCGTGTGTGCAGCATCAAAAGCAGTCGTCATGGTGTCTAAGAACTTTAAAGTATTGCTTTTTAATTGTAGTTTAACCATTATTCCGGTTTTTTATTTACCTTTTTACGCGGAAATTAAAGAAAGTGTGACCGTTGCATGTCTGACGGAATATAACTTAAACTCAGCTATACATACCAAAGTACCTAAAATATGGATTAGCCCTTATTGTATTTTACTGTGACAAAATCTTTTCTCAAATAACCTTTTTATGTTTGATTAAATTATTTAAAAAAAACCGATTAAACTTAAATTTAAGGGCAAGAGATTCCTAACAATTCCTTGTTAAAGTCACCAAAAACCCAAATCTCTTCTACATCTTTAATTTTTTTCCTGCCTTATGATATGGATGGTTTTTCAGAATTATAATTAAGATTTTTGTAACTAATGAGGGTACAAAAGGGCTAAAGCATATTGTTCGGTATGTTTCGGAAAATACTTCAATAGTCTTGTTTAGTATTTTGTTCGGGCATATTTGATCGGTCGTAGAACGGCCACACCGCCGTGCATTTTCATACACAGTCGCTTGTCGTGTTGGAATTTAAAGCATAAAATTAGGTAAATTGTGATTGCTCTTCGGCTTTAAGCTCAGAATCCTGTGACAAACTCAACTATTGTTCATATAAAAGTGTGAAGACATTAGGAAATAAGCCAGTGACTTTGCAATTTCCTTTTTTTTTACCTCGATCACCGTGACTTTCTTTAGTTCCGGGGAATGGCTAATCAGCATTAGAATCATTTGCCTTCGTCTCATCCTTTAACTGTACAAAAACATGAAATATTTGAAAAGTATGCAATGGATTTCAGTGTGTATTAGAATTATATTCAACCCCTTGAAATACAATTTTATTTAAGAAGAAAACTTGTTGCGTTTTCTGTGCGTCAGGGCGGCCATCGTGCTGTCTCGCTCGCACCCTCGCGATCGATCATGTAGTGCCGCCATTTTTTCTTTGCTTCTTTTGGGCGTGTGTTGGTGACGCTGGCAAAATTTGGTTTTTAATAGATCACGTGCCTAAAAGTAGGCTAAGTCCGGGGATAACTGATCCTGGAAATATTCCTCAATGATTTCAGTGTTATCTTAATTTCAGGCAGTCATTCCCAAGATGAGCGCCTCCAAGGAGGGCAAGGAAAAGAAGATCAAGATTCAGGGAGTGGAGAATATTTCGCCACCCAAGGACAAGCGACCGGCCACCAGGATGAAGCTCTTGAACGACTTAGGAGCTGGCGGAGATCCCGAGGCCACTACCACCAAATCAAAAATTCCCCCAGCTAAGCAGGATAAACGCGGAAGTCAGACACGCATAAAAATACTCAATGAGGAAATACTGGCCACTCCGAAAGCGGAAAAAAGAGGCGCCACTAAGACCTCAACTCCTGCCACCTCCTCCGTCAAGATCCTTAACGAGAAAAGGGCTGCCAGCTCCTCTGCAACGGCCGTGGAAACTGCCAAAATCAAGGCTTCGCCTAGTAAAAAAAAGAAAATGGATCACTATGTACTTCAGGCTGTAAAAACCGAAAACAGCAAAACGGTCACGGCGGTGACCGAAAATGACGAGGATACAATTGCTTTTATTCTGGCCGAAGATGAGGAAGTGGTGCCCGGAAGGATTGAGGAAACCAACGGCCAAGAGATCGTTGTGACCGAGGGTGACGAGGACGAAGAAATGGACGATGAGGATGGGGAGGATTCCAAAGGCAACTCCAACCAGGGGGTGAAGATCAAGGAGATAGTGGAGCATGTGTGCGGCAAGTGCTACAAAACCTTTCGCCGGGTTCAGAGTCTGAAGAAGCATTTGGAGTTCTGTCGCTACGACAGTGGCTATCATCTGCGCAAAGCGGATATGCTCAAGAACCTGGAGAAGATCGAAAAAGATGCCGTTGTGATGGAGAAGAAGGACATCTGCTTTTGCTGCAGCGAAAGCTACGACACCTTCCATGTAAGTTGAAAACTATAAAGGACAAGGAATCAAACAAGCAAAGCAAAAACCATTTGTTAAATTTTATATATTCCTGCATTTAATATCAGACTTTCCCTTTCAGCTGGGCCACATCAACTGTCCCGACTGTCCGAAATCGTTCAAGACGCAGACCAGCTACGAGCGACACATCTTCATTACCCACTCCGAGTTCAGCGACTTTCCGTGCTCCATCTGCAACGCCAACCTGCGCAGTGAGGCCTTGCTGACGCTGCACGAGGAGCAGCACAAGTCGCGTGGCAAGCCGTACGCCTGCAAGATCTGCGGCAAGGACTTCACGCGCTCCTACCACTTGAAGCGCCATCAGAAGTACTCCTCGTGCTCGTCAAACGAGACCGATACCATGAGCTGCAAGGTGTGCGATCGCGTCTTCTATCGCCTAGACAACCTGCGGTCGCATCTGAAGCAGCACCTCGGCACGCAGGTGGTGAAGAAGCCTGAGTACATGTGTCACACGTGCAAGAATTGTTTCTACAGTCTGTCCACGCTCAAGTGAGTTTTGGTTATTTCTTTATTTATTCAAGAGCTAATTTGTTGTATATTCACGCAGCATCCATATACGCACCCATACCGGAGAGAAACCCTTCGATTGTGATCTTTGCGACAAGAAGTTCTCTGCCTTGGTGGCCCTTAAAAAGCATCGGCGCTATCACACTGGCGAGAAACCCTACAGTTGCACAGTGGTATGTCAAGAAGCTCAAGTTTTCCAACTATTTTTCATCCTAATTGACTAATTGAATACTGACTTTTAGTGCAACCAAGCCTTTGCCGTGAAGGAGGTGCTCAATCGACATATGAAGCGTCACACTGGAGAGCGTCCGCACAAGTGCGAAGAGTGTGGCAAAAGCTTCATCCAGGCCACCCAGCTGCGCACCCATTCCAAGACCCATATTCGCCCCTTTGCCTGCGATCAGTGCGAGGAGAAGTTCAAAACAGAGAAGCAGTAAGTCATTGAGGCATATTTGATGTTCCATTGCCGTCATAACATAACGCATTACTTTTCCCGCAGACTCGAGCGCCATGTGAAGGATCACTCGCGCACAAAGCGTCCCGTCTTTTCGTGCACTGAATGCAAGCGTACTTTCCGCACCACGGCTCTCCTTAAGGAGCACATGGACGAGGGCAAACACAGCCGTAAGTTAAAGAGAATTGGCGAAATACATGAAATTTATATTGATCCTCCCAATTGCAGCGAAACAGCAACGTCCCAAGCGCTCGTCCACCAAAATGATGGAGCGTACAGATTGCGCAATTTGCGATAAGAACTTCGACAGTAGCGAAACCCTGCGCAGGCACATTCGAACCGTGCACGAGTGTGATCCGGATGACATTTTCGGCGTCGAGCCTCAGTCTGTGAAGCGCGCAAAGAAGGCCAAATTGTCTGGTATAGAAGTGGATGATGTTGTACCAGTGGCGCTGAACACTTCGGCGGGTTCGTTGATTTCCAGTCAAACAGATGGCAACGGCGTGGTGGTCCGCGAGTTCTTGGTGGACGAAGGGGATGGCACTGCCCAGACTATTACGCTGGAGAACGAAATATACACAATTCTGCCTTTGGACGGGGCCGTCGAGGAAGAGCAGCTGACGGATGAAGCTGCAGTGAAGCCCGAAGATAAAAAGGATGAGGCAAAGGTCTCGCCGGTGGTCAAAAAAGAGCAGCGCAAATCACTGGGCGCCAGTTTGGCGGCTGCCATTGCTGATAATCTGGAGGATGCCTCAAGCGAGGATGATGTCACCGGTGAAATTCTGACCGACGAGGATCTAAGGCTCAAGGAGAACGTGGGCAAGCTGATTGACATGCTCGTGGATCCACCCATCTTGAAGAAATACGGCTGGCCCAATGCCCCCGAGGAAATGGTGCTCTGCAAGGTGATCGAGAACTGTGGCCACGATTTGACCAAAGGTGCTGAAAATTACGCTGAACTAGACTACGGCAGCCGAATGCGCGAATATTGCAAACTTCTCTTCACCGTGGTCATTCATAACGATTCCATCAAGTCCCTCCTCAACAATTTCCCCATCGACGACGTCATCGAGTATGTGCTGGGAGATGAGGACTCGGAGGATGTAGGGTTAGGCAAGGACAAACGAAATGAGAAGGAGTCAATCACAGAGGATGATGATGAGCCGGAGACAATAACAGGAGATGCTGAAAAAGAGGCGGTCCCAGCGAAAGTAGACAACAAGACTACCGCAGTGGAAACTGAAAAGGAGTCGATCGCAGAAGAAAAGAAAAAAACGATCCCAGCGGAAACCGAAGAAGAAAAGGTTTAACTTTTCATTATTTAATGCGTTATTTAAATTGCATGCTATTAGCGCACAATGTTTTTTAAAGAATTCGGGATGAAATATTAATAGGGAGTGCATGGTGAACGACAGGTTTATACTCCACTACAAAAATTTGTATGCTCGACACTATTTTTATTATAACAAAACTAGTTTTAAGAACTTTGGTTTCGGTTCAAACACCAAGTGACCTTATAAGAGAAACTTACCGTCTGTTATTGAATTGTTCGATTTAAATACTAGAAATGTTTTACCATTTACAAATCACCCAAAAACAAACAAACCAACAAATGTCATATCAAAGATATTTTGATATTATATTATACATTTATACATATTTTTTGAATTGAAAAGTGTACCCAAGCAATGGGATATATTTATGAAACTCTTATTAAATATAGAAAACACAAATGTAAACCATTTGGGAAACCCACAGTTCTCTTAAACTTCGAAACGAAAGATTTGTTTTAAAAAGCCATCAGAGTCCTTACTGCTCACTCATCAATTTAAGGATACGGGCGTTGTTCTGCAGGATCCTTTGGCGACTTTCGTCGACGAGCTCCCGATACTCGGCAATACTGGCCTCGATTTGCTGCAGCTGGTGCTTCATGGGCTCCGTGGCGGATGCAGTAAGACTCTGCTCGCGTTTCAGTTCCATGGAGGCCTGGTTGTGGGTGTCGCGCCACATAGTCAACTCCAGTTGCATGGCATCAATGTCCTCGGGTATGAAGTCCAGCAGTTTCCCCAGCGGATTCACTGAATTTGTCAGCCTTTGGATCACGTCGCGCAGGTCGTTCACCTGGCGAGCGGAACTCTGCCGGGCAGCTTGACTTTGTAGAGGTTCAACCTCCGCATTTTGGTGAACCAATTCCTTTTGGGTCTCCAAGATCTGCTGAACCAATCGCCCCTGGGCATCTAGCTGACTCTCCAGAGCTGGTTCTTCTGCTCCTTTACCTTCAACAATATCATGCGAGTTGGCATCTTCTATGATCACCAGATTCTCCCCATCATCGTCGAGATCCCCAAAAGTTTCCAGTTTAACGTTAATCCCAGACATCTTGATCTGATCGTTTGGTTGAAGTACAATCTCCACGTTGCGACGCCGTGGAGCTCCAGGACGTGCGGAGGCCGGTCTAGCGGACGGTGGTCTAAGTGAGGTCCTGGGGCGTTGATTGGACTCCTTTAAGTTTTCCCTGGAGATCGGAGTCTCCCGCTTCACCTCACTGTTGTTAATGCTGGATTCGGCTGGGGAAACAGCCTCCGACGGCTGCACCGCTGGCTGGGATTGGCTCTCATTGGGATTCGGCTCTGGTTGCCTGTGATGACTGCCACTAGAACGGCGACTCCTGCTGGAGGATTTGCGACTCTCAGACTCAGCTGGTGGAGCCAATGGAGCCGGTGTAGCTTCCTGAACTGGTTGCACCAATGGTTCCTTAGATTTTGAAGGGGATATCTACTCAAAAAATATTAGTTTCTTATAAAATATATTTTTTTATAAATTTAATCTTACCGATTCCGGCGCTGGCTTAGCAGGAACAGATTCAGGAGCTGGCTGCTTGGCCACTTCTCCTGATACTGGCGACATGGACATGCTGGGATTATCGCTTTCTGTGGATACCTGTACCTTGGCTTTGGACTTTAGTTTAACAGGAGAAGGACTCTTTTGCTTGGAGCTCTGTCGACTCAGTTTGGTGTCATCCTTGGGCACCTTTGACTTCTTCTGGGATGCCTTTTCCTTCTCACTGGGCGACGATCGAGACGCCGGTTCGATGGCTTTGCGAAACTTTTGCTCCTGGGGCGATATGCGCTTCTCCTTGCGACGCTTTGAATCCTCCTCTTTCCCAGCGGGTGAGGGATTCTTGCTCTGAATTTTAGTTTCCTTCGACGGTTTCGGGAGGGCAAGTGGTGTTTTGCTGTGGGAAATTACCACCTGGTCAACAACACTGTCCCACTCCAAGTTCTTCTCCGCCACACTGGCCATCGCCTGGAGAAGCTCATTGGTGAGCTCCGGCTCCTGGCCAGCAACTATTTTTGAGGTACGCACTTTCAGGTCCCTTTTAGTGGTTAGCTCTATGGGAAGACAAACAGGCTGCAATTTATGGACTCTTCTTGTAACCAAAACTCACTGGTGGCATCGATCATCTTCTGCAGGAATCGTATTTTATCCTCTCGACTACCTATGTTCTCGAACAATTGCTCCTCCGGCGTATATAATCCATCGAACTTGCCTGTCTGCTTGATAAACTGCACGTAAAAAAGTCGCATTTGGGTTTTTGCATTGGGGATGGGTCAAGGTAAGCCACTCACGTTATTGAAAACATCCATGAGAAAACGGAAAGGGGGTTTCTTCAGCAGTTTCTCCGTTAGTGGTGGTTTCTTTACGTATTTACCCACAACCTGTTGGGTCACCAGGATAATGGCATCCAGATCTTTGTCCGTCATTTTCGTATACTTTCTATCAAATAAAATGTAGTTAACTAACTTTGGGGTTTTGTTTGTTTGTCTTGTATGGTTGTCCTGGCAACCGAACAGTGGCACTACTGTAACTTGACCAACCCTCTTGCACTAAAATTACGGGGTGATGGAAGTTTAAATTATTGAAGTTCAACTGTTATTAGCCCCTGGCTTGCGCATGCACCACCTCATGGAAATTCCTGTGGTTCATTAACTCATTAACACTCTCAATTTGTTCCAACACAATTCTCACTTTATTTTTATAAAACATTTTCACGTACAACATGACTTGGCTCGATATGAGTGCAGTTCGATATTGGGCTTTCTGGGATATATATGTTTTTAATGGTGTTTGTTTAACAATTGAGGTTATAGTTTTATAAAGAACAGGATTTATTTTCAGTTGCGGTTTAATACTTTGGAAAGCTAAAGAATAAATTAAAATTACACGTCAACCGATGGCCAATTTCGTGTTAGCGGTCAGAGCAGTCCAGTGGATTGTTGTATTGCTGGCGACTATATACAATTAACATTAATAATTCTCATAACTAAATTATACACAGTGTGATTAAAGCTAGAGTCATACAAAAAGTAAACATAATGGGGGGCAGGAGGGGTGGACAGAAGGACCGAAGGCTTCCGGATCGGACCGGATTAGATCAGGTCAGATCGGATCTTGCAAGCAAATTGGCGGCAATTACACAGGGCTGACACAAGATCAAAAACGGGGACAGAACTGCCTTGTCATCGTACTACAGGTTTACATAGTGCTGCGCTTAGTTTAGGTTTATAGTTTAGTTTAGGTTTTAGCTCAGTTACATTTATGTTTAATCGTATAGGTAAAGGGTATCGCGCATACGTGTCGATAGATATCATTATTTATATTACATTTAGAGTGCGGCATTCTGTGTGATGTAACATGCTGACATACGTCGTCGTAGTCTCCTCCGATGCGCGGCAATTAAAAACGATTTGTAAAATTAACTCTCAGCGTAATTAGGCTAGATTTCGACCCCCAGACGGATGCTACAACTCGAAGAAATCGTCCTGCTGCTTCTCCAGTCGTTTCAGCGAGTTCTGAACGCGTCGCGTCTGCGTCGTATTCAGCAGGTGCGCCGTATCCGAAGAGTTTCCACTGCCCGTTGAGCTGTGCCGCTGGAACTGCGGCGGACGTTCGTTGTTGTTGGTCTTGTAGGAGTTGTTCAGCGGATGGCGGCGCTGCGGGAAAATGTCGGCACTGGCACTGATGCAGATGTCCGCGTCACTCTGGCTGCTGACCAGGCTGGATGAAAAATAAATAAACAGATTAGTAAATATAGTAGCCAGAATTCACAATGATTAAATATAGTGGAAACTAATGCTCACGCAATAAATATGATAAAAATAACAATAATATAATAATCAATATAATTTAAATTTAATATTTATTTTTTATAAAATGAAAACTATATATTTTCCTTTAAGTAGAAAATTTGTTTCAATCAAATAAAAAAATTAAGTCTAAACAAAACAAATGCATAAGGGACATAACTAAACAATCTAGTAGCATAATTCAAAAGACTGATATCTACTATTTGAAATTCAATTTCGAATGGTTTTGTTGGGGATAAAAACTTTAAAATTGAATGATTGATGTTAGAATTGACAGCTTAACGATAATTATTGATGATCGAGTAGCTAATTATAAACAAAAAAAACTATTTTAGACTGGTCTTGAAGATAAGAATACCCAAAAACTTTTCAGAAAACCAAAAACTGTTAGAATTTTTAAATTTCTTATCAAAAATGCTAAATTGTTTAAATCTATATTACTTGAAAAGTAATTATAACAAGCCTGTTTATCATCTCTTGATTATTTGAATGCTCATGGGTCTACTTACTCCTTGGAGCGTTCCACATATTTGCGCGACTCGGATATTGTGTTGTCGATCTTGTTGAGGAAGTCGTTCATGCATTTCCGGTTCTCCTCCTCGGGCGTCATCGCGGCTACCGAGTCCAAGCTCTTGCTCTGCTTGGCGCTGCATCCACTGTGGCCGTGCATCATCTCTGGATCCTCGTCTCCGGCCTGCACCACCAGCAACTCCCCGGCAATGGAGTACGGCCGCTGAGGGGGCTGCTGCTGTTGGTTGCCGGCGGGTCGCGATCCTCCGGAACTGGGGCCGCAGCCACTTGTGTTGCAGCTGCTGCTGCTTCCACTGCTGCTGCTACTACTGCTACTGCTGATGTCGTTGCTCTTGGTAAAGCTGTTGCTCTGGCTCAGATTGTTGGCATTGTTGTGCGCCTCCCGTTGGCCGTTGGCATCCGGAGTGCCTGGGGGCGTGGCCAGCACGGCATCGAAGGCGGTAATCGGGTCGCCAGGCACCTGGGGATAATACGGCGAGTTCTTCTCCACTGGCACCAGCAGGAACTGACGCAAGAACAGGCTGTCCGAGGCGAAGAGGCGGTTGGCCCGTCTTATTTGCTCCGTCTGAAATGCAATACAACAATGTACATGTATATAAGCTGGAGGAGCTCATCAATTACGGGCAATCGCAGCGCTGACACATGATTGATGGATGAGATTGATCGACGGATGGATGAGCCGGGCTAAGACGCATAAATGGCCAATCGGGTCAAGTGGCATGCAACGCTATTTTTTTTGGCTTACAGCCACATTTCAGATTTTTCGAGTCAATAAACTTAATCTGACGTTAGGCAAATATTAGTCCAGTGCTAACTGAACAGTCTAGTTCTCGTTGTAGACATAAATCATATGCAGCAATCTGTCAGGTCGGAAGAGAGTGTCCAAACATGGACCTGCAGCATTTTCCACAGTTCCATCGCAGATAACGAGACTGATAAATAGCTAGGTTAGATACTAGATGCTAGATACTAGATACTAGCCTCTAGACTGACTGTCCCTTCTCACATGTCGCTATCTGTTCTGTTTGCCCAAGTCACTAGACGACTTATCACATCCCCCGCGTTTGTGCGAAGGTGTGGGTTCGGTCGTAAATTCCAAGAACGAACAGAACTGGGGGAGCAGATGGGAGTTACTCGGGGCAACGTTGCCATTATTGAATCGATAAATTCAAATCCCAGGGAGTTGACATTTAAAATTCAAAAAGCTCGCGTGATTGTAGCACTAGTTGGGCTTCCCAAAAGGTGCAAGAAATCAATGCATACAGTAAATTGATTTCCTCAAGATTCATAGTTTTATATGGAATATTTTGGGAACGTTATGCAAAAGAAAATTTTAAATGCTAGCGTGACTATAATTAGTTTGTGTATATACACTTTCTCTGAAAAAACTGTTCATGGGCGGCTCAAATCAATTTTAGTCTAATAACGAAAAAGAAAGCTAGATGGTCAAATCAAAATTTATACACCCTTTCACCCTGACATTTTAAATGTAAAAGGGTTAGCGTGTCAGTAATGCCTTTTTTGGCAATTGCAGCTTGCCCTCTTGCGGGGCTAAATAAAGGTTAATAAGTTGCAATCTTATAAAAGCAAAATCATGGAATATACAAAAACATTTAATGAAATCATTGGGTCTAAATTTAAAGATTCAAAAAAGAAGTTGCTCTTTGACTCAACATCATCAATTGGCTCAGATCTGAAATATTTTAAATAAAATGGCCTTATATGAATAGATCAATGCTGGCAAATACCTGGAAGTGTACTTCAAAACTGGGGCACTAGTGGAGCTTCCACAAAAGACTGAAGAAATCAATGAAGAAATCGCTATGTAAATCTCTGGGAGTTGACATTTGTAATAAAAGTTGTGCACTATTGGAGCTTCCCTCCCAATTGCCTCACTGTTCAACGGAATATTTTTCCTTAACTATACAAAAATTTTAAAATTATGGCTCGGGGCAGGATTGGCTTATATGGTTAATGGGCGCTTTTGGAACTTCCTTATCAGGTGAGTTATAGATATGGGATTATGGTGTAAGATGGGGCTTTCTCCGGAGGATGACCTCTTGGACTCACCGTGCATCCGTACTTGAGGGCAATGCCCTGCAGCGTGTCCGTCTTCTCCACAATGTGCCTGATGAGGGTCTCATTGTTCCTCAGGCTGTTGCAGCAGGTGCTCCCGTAGCGCTTCAAGGTGCGCGAGGAGTCCCGGATCGATTGCTTCTCGTTGAACATGAATTCCGTGTCATCCATGTCGGGAACGATCTCTTGAAACTGCAACGGATTTTAAGAGATTGACGATTTATATTTTTAGTGATGTCATGGCCAAAACGTAACAAACGCACACACAACGAAAATGTAAATGTATTTATGTATTACAGTCTCATTATTGAGTCTTTGTTGCGGCGATTGACTTATAAAAACAAGAGACTAATATCCGCATTTATTAATTATTCGGCGCACTCACCCGAACGCCGCTCCTTTGCAACGGTAAATGTAACTGCAACTGTTACAGTTACTCCACCGCAATCGCACACACAGCTCCCCACCTCACCCACACACACATGACAGGCCTTTCAAAACAGAGCGAGCAAGTTAGAGAGTGGAAGGCAATACGACAACCTCCCGCCGATTTTCCACCGCCCACTTCTCACTTATATTGGCACTACTATTGGCACACGCGACTTGCCCCGTTTTATTGCTATTTGCGATTTCCAATCCAAATTTGCTTTGATTTTCTGTTTACTACGTGTTTACTAGAGGTGGGTAACCCTTAACCATGGTATCGATAAATGAACAAAATCGTTTTGCAGGACATCGGAAAAGCAGGCGCGGCGTTGCCACGTTTTCCGACTACTGGCGGGAAATTTAAACTTGGCTGAGAAATCAAATTGAAGGGTCCCAATAATTTAAACAGATTTTAGTATATATATATATATAAAATATACAAGTTCTTAAAATTGCAGTAAACATTGCAAAACATGCGAAGAAATCACTTGTAAACATCAAAATTTACAATTTATCGGCTTATGGTTTGTTATGAAAGGGTAATGGGAAAAAACATGAAGTATTTTATTTAGACTATTATAACTACACCGAAAAAAAATTGATTTTCTCTTTGGCACATATTTAAAATTTGTTTTTGAAAATACATCATTGATTTTTGTCGAATGTATCAATATACAATAAAATATTTAAGCAAACAAAAATTACAATTTAATTTTAGCAAATAATTCCTAACAGGATTTGAAAACCAAAACTTTTGCTATTAAAAAATCTGGATAGCGCTGCCACCCTGATTAAATAAATTGGCGCGCATTTTAAACAGACATCTGCACATACCCACAAGTAAGGCAGCTTTTAATAGCCTTTCCTTTGTCTCAAACATCCAGACACTGCTAATTTTTCAGTTTGTTAGTTGTTTCTCAGCCAGCGGTAGATAATTTTTTCACGTGATCCGCTACGTAAACGCCTTTTAATGTATTGTATATATTTAGCCAGGTTCGAACCTGTTTGAACAAAGCAGGTCGCCGCTGAGTTTGTGTTTTTATTTTTTTTGTATCCCAGCACCAACAGCTGCTGCAAATATTGAAATTAGTGGTGGCGGTGGCGTGGACGACGTGCCGCTGGCTGATAATTAACATGTGACTTTATTTGTTAATGGTAGCTGCACATTGTATGCGCAATATTGCTGCATTATTGCACTACCATTGCCTGTTCAGTAACTACCGCATATTTGCATTATGGGCTTTGGCCATCTCGGCGAAACCGGGCCCGTTTAAGGTCAACAACAAGTTGATAGTACACGTTGTCATGCTGTTTTATTTTCAAATGTTTCTTGTACTTCTTTTGCACCATTTTATTTACCTGGCAGAGTTGTCATTTCAGCTGGATAATCTGTTTTGAATTACTTTTAAAGCTATACAATTTAAAAACAGATTTTCTACCGTTATTGTTCTTTCAAAAAATCTTAATAATAGAAGATCTAATTTTATGCCTATTACATGAGAAAACCACACAAAATATTTGTATTATCATTATTAAAGAATCAACGCCGAATTTAAATAAGGAAATAAAAATCAAGTGGACTTTTAATTAAATTTTTTTAGTTTTGTGTACATTTTTGAAAACAGACTGAAATTTATGGAAAGCTCATAAAAACAGCAGTAAAACTTTCCATTTCCTTTCTTCTTAGTTTTCGATATAAATCTAGCATTTTAAAGTTTTGGTGACACTATTGCCACCGTTTCCCCTACTTTGTATTGGACGCCATTTATTTATGTTTGGCAAATATTTTGCAGATAAGCTGCGGCGATAACAAACTCACACTGCTGTGGCGTCTGAGAGTTCAAAGCTTCGTTCTCTCCATAGTTTTCTTTGGCTATATAGATAAATATGTTTCTGGCCGATCTAAAGGGGTGAGGGTGACGACGGTCATTGACATGCGCATGGCGATGAACAATTGTTTATTTTTCAAACCAGTCACGAGCTGATTGCTCCGCCACTCGTTCTAACTGGGCGGAATACTCATACGCCATGTGGTACGTGGTACAATTAAACTCGCTTACACAAATGAAAGGCGCGTAAAAATCGTTATTTATGTGATATAATCCGCCCTATGTTTATTTGAATGTTACGGACTTACAACATATTTCTAAATTATTTAAAATATGTGCTTAAAACGCCAAGACCAATTTAGTCATATTGATACATGACTAATGTAGTATAACAATTATAAGAGACATGGCTTTTTTATGTTTTTTAATATTATTTGTATACCAGTGTTTTATGTGGCTTATTCCGATTTAGATCTGGAATTGTGGAACACTCGGAGAAAGCTCTCACAATTGTCCATTCCGGGCACAATAAACCAAACACCTGATTAATGATCAGCACACGAGCTGGCGCTCAGACATGATCGTACTATATGTTATTTTGCCTTTGTTATTGTGCGCGTTTATTGGCGCAGAAATGAATGTTAAATGTTTTTTGGCACTTTGGCTCTAACCGAAGGGGTTGGCTCAGACTGCCGATATTAAGACATCAGACATGCTCTACTGGCGCTTCTTCGCTTTGTGACTCACTAATTTGAATAAATCTGAAGATCACAGCGAGTTCGTCGCCTGATGGGAAATTATCACATACGTTCAAAGAACTTCGAGTGCTGAAGGTCAAGACGATGAAGCCACAACCACAAAGTTAGTTCACTTTAAGTTGGCTCATAATCAGAGCCATAAACTACCCAGCTAATGTAGCTCACACTCTCGTAAATTTAACGATATCGTTTGTAATCTATTTCAATTTGTTGCCTTTCAATCGCGCTCGCGGCTGTGCTTTTTTTTTTGTTATTTTCAAAAATTTATGGAATTGTGCAAGCGCACAAAAATTATAACCGAAAGTTGAACATAAGCAAGTAACCGGCATGCCAGCCGGGCACTATCTTTAGTATTAATTAAAGCCACCAAAATTGGGAATTGCAAATTGATAAACAGCAAACGGAACGAATCGGGAGCAGACAACCAAAACAATTTGTATGTATGGTACGTGACTGAGAATTAAGAAGCTCCACATATATCTATTTAGATATTGCATGTGTTCGAGGTATTATCTGGAAGACTAAGGTTGGTTATGGCCGAGATAGTGCCAAACAAAGAGTCTTCTTGGTAGAAAGACACGTGATATCTTGTGGATTTTGTTGGTCATTTGATAATAAATATTGACCTGCAGATAGATATTACTTTGAAAGATGATTCATTCTATCTAAATGTAAGAGTTGTGTGGTTTGTGGTTTCACCAGATAGAAAAAAATATTAATTTAGTCTTTAAAAAACTCAGAGTCTATGTTATGCTAGTTAAATATTAAAAAAAGGTATAAAGTCTATTTATTGCTTTAATTAATTGCTGTTGTTATATAACATATATTTAATTTAAATAATAATAAGTTATTTTTATTGTGTGCCAGCAAACTTGTTTCATAGTTAAACAATCCTTGGCCTAAAAGCTTTAGATTTGATGTTGTCAAGATGATTCACAATAATTTCTAGTAAATGTAAACAATGTTGCCTTTGTTAGTAGATCAATCATGGGGCTTATACCTTCCGAACCTTGACTTAAATGCCATAAAATTGGCATCCTTTTCCATCACCAACCTCATGCTTTGTCTTATCAGGAAACTACTGGGAAAGTCCCCACAGAACTTACTTGTTAATGCCCCCGGGGCTTAAGTTGTCCACGGCGCTATCAATGATTCGCTTGTATAACCCGCGTATGAATGTCTAGAGCCCCATAAGTCAAGTGTCCGGGTCTTAAGTGGCCTTTTCATTTAAGTTTATTTATATTTAGCGATAATTTAAATGGATGGGTCTCTGGCTCTTCGTGGGTTTTGTTTTTACGATAGCATGGTGTAAGTAAAGGTTCTTAAGATATAGGCGGTCTAAGCATTTTTGGCCAGCTGATGTAGCACCTGTTGTTTGCCAAATTGAAGGGCATGTGCTGGGCACACAGAAGTTATTTCCCTAAAATATTGCAAGCTTTTAGTTCCTGAGACTACGTGCAAAATTGTAAACGATTCAAACATTTATCAACGTGACATTTTATCATATTTAAAATATGTAAGAAGCTAGCAAAATAACGAAAAACTAATGATTATGAAAGTGATGTACCCTTCAATAAAATGTAATCGGGAATATTAACGATGAGTTTTCTTTGGGGACAGAAAATGAGAAGCACCGTTTAGGGATTTTTTTGAAATAATGTTTTATAACCAAGTTATCGGGTATTTTTTTTTAATATTTGTTTTGCGGTTGGCACTTTATTATAGTGTAAAACATTGAGTAATACAAATTTTTTAGAACGAAATACTATGACAGTTCTTCAAGTTTATTAGAAAAATGGAACCCTCCAACTGCAGACGAAGTACACTTACGAGTATTATCAATCTCTATAAACGTTGTTTTATTTCTTAATGACGTTGCACTTAAGCGTGTGATTGATTGTCCGCTGGGTTATAAAATACACATATTGTTATTTACTCGTACTGTTGTGTGTTATTAAAAAACATCTGAGAGGCCATCAAATGACTATCAATATGATTTATTCACTTGTTAATTATATACCTACAACAAATTGAATTCTTCATGTTCTTAGTGCTTAGTGTTTGCTTTGGTTTTCACAAAATGGAAACCGACAATGGGTGTTTTTGTTTTTGCTCCCATTGTTTCGGGTGACAAATTATTTGCTGATAAGATTACGGCCTTTGTTCAAAGAGGGTGCAGCCTTCGTTTATGATCAATATAAGGTGCGATCAAAGATATGGGTACGCCTAACAATGCACATACTAGAGAGTTTTACTGGTTTTTGGAAATTGACGTCTTTGGGCCCCAAATCGTTCGATCAGCACGTTCATATTCTGATAAAGCTTCTGTTGGAAGTCAAGGCTAATGTTCCGCATAGAAATCGAGTCAAGTCTTCAAGTCTTCTTATACAAATGCCGACTTATCTTTTTTTTTCGGAATTATTTTTCTTTCTTATGCTGATTATTCATATTTGTAAAGACAGGACAACCCTGTAGACTTCGCCGTCACAATCAAAACATTCACGCATATCAGTCGTAGAATTTCTGTAGATTGACGCTTTATTTAAAGCAATTCGAACCGGTTGCAACCGCTCCACCAAACAAAAACTTAAATATAGAAAAGCAGTAATCGCAAATAACCCTCCATGAGAAAATAGAATACCCAAAAAAAAAATAAACCACAACGAAAACCA